GCGGCTAGGCGTGGGTGGCCACGGGTTATTTACTCCGACAATGGCACGAACTTTCATGGGGCAAATACAGAACGGCAACGGGCGATGAAAGAGTGGGCACCGCAGCTGAAGGATTACGCGCTGACTCGGCGAATCGAATGGAAATTCATCGCACCGGGTGCGCCTAACCAGGGTGGCGCATGGGAGCGTCTCGTACGCTCATTGAAGACCGCGCTCGAAACCACTCTACACCAGGAAAGCCCACGGGAAGAGACGTTGGCAACGATCCTGACAGAAGCAGAAAAGACAGTGAATTCTCGACCGTTGACGCACGTACCGGTCGACATCAACGACGAAGAGGCGCTGACACCCAACCACTTCCTACTGTTGGGACCATCGGGCGTACTAGTCACCGCGCCATGCACACCCATGGATCGTCGGGCGTGGAGAGCGGCGCAGGGGCTCGCCGACGAGTACTGGAGGCGCTGGGTGAAAGAATACCTGCCGACGCTGGTTGCGCGCGGGGACTCCCGAGATGCTCAGCAGCGTCAAGTTCAAGAAGAGGACCTCGTCCTGGTTGCGGACAGCAACCTGCCAAAAAATGTGTGGCCGCGGGGTATTGTGACGAAGATATTTCCTGAACCAGACGGCGTGGTGCGCAACGTGGAGGTCAGGACCAAGGGCGGAGTGCTGCGGCGGCCCGTCAGGAAGATCGTCGTCCTCCCGAGGGAAGCTTAGGCTCGCAGGCTACGCCGGGGGGAGGATGTAGCGGACAGCGAAGGATGCCGCCGCCCGTCGCCCCTTCACACCCCGTTGTGCCCCGCGCACCCCGCACACCGGCAGCAGATCACGCGATGTCGCCGACCAATCAGCGCGCGGCTTCGCCTTACGACGCTACTCACGAACCGAGACGCTCTCTTGCGGGATATAAGAAGGGCGTTTTGGTCTGTGAGCTATTCATTTCGGAAGCGGCACTCGAAGAGAAGAAAGAGCAAGAGAAATCAAGAAGAATCAAGACTCTAGAGAAATCCAGAAGACTCCCCTCTGTATATAGTTTATTAGTGCCACATTTGTAAATAGTTGAATATAGTATAGTTCTACAGTACCATCTTTTCTTTAAGCAGTTCCCTAGCGTAGTCAGTCATACAGTCCACTTGCAATAGTAAATTCATACAGTCCACGTTCGATCCCTTGTAATTTAGGTTCATGATTTATGGAAGAAATGAAAACGCGTCACCCTTCGCGCCACTTCCCGCGGTTTCCACAGACTGCGCCGCCATTCTTCCGTGGTATTGTCGAGAGTTCCATGGAAGACGCGACACTTCTTTTTTGACTCGTATCTAGTTTGCACGTTACACAGTTGACATAAAATTCATTTTACTGTGTACAATTTCATTACAAAAATTCGCTTCCATCCGTTCTGCGGCAATGTAAATTGAGCTTAACGAAAGACGAAGCAAACCGTTTGGTTTGAATGCCTGAAATATCGACAACAAAAGGGTGAAAACCCGCCTACCGCCTGGTTGTCCGATGGTGGGAAAAGGCGGAAGGTATTAAAGCATGTAATTCCTGCGCTAATACGTAATGTATAGTATAGTTTCGGGTTGATGAAGAATAAGGAATTTTTTTTTTTTTTTATAGAATAGGGGGCAAACGAGCATGCGGCTCACCTGATGTTAAGTGACTACCGCCGCCCATGAACAACCGCAACACCAGGGGAATTGCAGATGCGTTGCCGGCCTTTTAGAAAGGTGTAAGCTCTTTTCTTGAAGGTTCCTAAGTCGTATCGGTTCGGAAAATTCGCTGGTGGTAATTGATTCCACAAAGAAGTTGTGCGAGGGAGAAAACTTCTTCTAAATCGCACAGTGGTGGACCGCCAATCATCCAGATGGTATGGATGGTAACGCGAGTTTTGTCGCGACGTGCGATGGTGAAATTGAGCGGCTGGAATTAGTCCGAACAATTCCTCAGAGCACTCCCCGTGATAGATGCGATAAAATACGCAAAGAGATGCAACATCTCTACGCAGTGCCAGTGTATCGAGCCGATCGGAAAGAACTCGGTCGTTGACGATTCGAATCGCTCTGCGCTGGATGCGGTCAAGTGGAAGGAGCTGGCACTGGGGTGCCCCGGCCCAGAGATGAGAACAGTATTCCATGTGGGGCCGAACTTGCGCTTTGTAAAGTTGCAAGCGATGTGCCGGCATGAAATACTGTCTCGCTCTGCTGAGCACGCCAAGCTTTTTAGAGGCCAATTTGACCTTCCCTTCCAAGTGACCACGAAACTGCACGCTATTCGATATGTCGACGCCAAGGATTCCGATACTGGCTGAGGCAGCAAGGGGAGTGCCTTGAAACTGAGGAGATACGACAAAGGGGTTCTTTTTAGCGGTAAACGCGCAAACTTGTGTCTTCTGGGGATTGAACTGGACTAGATTTAGTCGGCCCCAATCCGAGACTTTGTTAAGCAAAGACTCGACTTCAGACACAAGTTTGTCCCGGTACTCGGCGACGTTTTCCCGAGAAATATTGGCACGGCCGGTATATAAGGCATCCCCAGTGCTGTCGTCTGCATAGCAATGAATGCTACCAGTTAGCAACATATCATTGATATGCAGGAGAAACAGCGTTGGTGATAGCACGCAGCCTTGTGGAACACCAGCGTTGATAGGCTTGTAATCAGAGCATGCACCGTCTACTACGACCTTGATGCTCCGATCAGCAAGGAAACTGGTGATCCATTTGCACAATTTCTCGGGAAGCCCATAGGAAGGAAGCTTCGAAAGAAGCGCCTTGTGCCAGACCCGATCGAAGGCCTTCGCTATGTCCAAACTAACGGCCAATGCCTCCCCCTTGGACTCTACTGCCTCCGCCCATCTATGAGTTAAGTAAACTAAAAGATCACCTGCTGATCGACCCCGACGAAAACCGTACTGACGGTCACTGATCAGCTGGTGATCCTCAAGGTACCTCATGAGCTGGCAGTTTATAATGGATTCCATTATTTTGGAGAACAAGGAGGTGATGGCGATAGGCCTGTAGTTGGACGGGTCTGAGCGGTCGCCTTTTTTAGGGATCGGGTGGACCAAAGCTGTCTTCCATGAATTCGGGACTACGCCTTGGGAGTAGGAGTACCGGAAAAGACGCGTTAAAACCGGTGCCAACTCCGGAGCACACGTCTTCAGCACAATGGGAGGGACTCCATCGGGCCCACTCGACTTGCTGACGTCCAGGGAGAAGAGTGCTTTGCGAACCGAGCGCTGTGTAAATCGCACATCCGGCATGGAGCACTCACATCGCGGGATGGTCGGCGGTGTGTTCCCCCCGTCATCTAGAGTCGAGTTGGACGCAAAAAGAGAGCACAACAGATCGGCTTTCTCTTTTGCGGCATGGGCCAGTGAGTCGTCCTCTCTGTGCAGAGATGGGAGGGATGGCTGACAGAAGTTCCCTTGGACAGCCTTGGCGAGAGACCAGAATGCACGGGTTCCCGAAGGAAGGCGAACTAGCTTCTCGCCAATTCTGCCGATGTGTTCAGACCTTGCCTTGGCAATGACGCTTTTGAAGGACCTGGAGGCGGAATTATACTTCTTTTTAAGTGCGCTGGTGTTTAAATCCCGAGACGTTGATGCGTCAGCCCAGGCCCGGTAGCACTCCTGCTTATAGCGTGATGCTATTTTACAGGAGCGACCAAACCATGGCTGGGATCTGCCTCCGATGGGCACCAGAGAGGATGGAATAAAAAGTTCCATACCCTGAAGTACCACATCAGCAACAGAATCGGCAACAACGCTGGGATCTTCCGGCGAGAAGCAAACCCGCCCCCAAGGGTAGGATGCAAAAAAAGACCGCATCCCGTCCCAATCAGCTGACCTATAGTGCCAAACACGGCGGCAAGCTGTAGATCGCAACTGCGATTGGAGCGTGAGTGGCACTGTGCTCCGGATCAGACAATGGTCCGAAGAGCCCAGAGGGGCATCGACGGAGACCTGATATCCGTCCGGATGAGAGGTCAGCAGAAGGTCCAACAGGGAAGGTACATGGTCTTCCACATCTGGGATCCGCGTAGGCGAAGTAACCAGTTGTGTTAGACCATATGCCAAAGCAAAGTCGTAGACAGATCTACCCGCATGATCGGTTGAACGAGAACCAAGCCATTCAGCGTGGTGGGCGTTGAAATCACCGAGTATCACGATCTCTGCGGATGGGACCTGTTGTAGCACGGAGTCTGCAGCCATTTGGACGTGGTCGATGAGTCGGTCTGTGTCGGCATTACCGCTATGGGACCTATAGAGGCACCCGTAGACGCGGGGATGGTCGTCGCTGTCTACGCGCAGCCATAGGATGGACAGGTCCGTACCTTCAAGGCTGCCGAGGCGTCGAAAACAGATGTCCTCTCTGACGTATACACAAACTCCAGCCCGGGGCACAAAGGAGTGTTCCAATTTGTACCCCGGGTAGGAGAGATATGAAGTATCAGCCGGAGAGGACACCTGAGTCTCGGTTAAAAAGAGCAAGGCCGGCTTCGCCGTCTCTAGATGGTAATGGACAGCGTTAAGGTTGGAATGAAGTCCCCTGATGTTGCAAAAATTCACGGATAGCGTGACAGGGGTCGCCTTGGTTGTATTGCTCCGCTTGCCCCGAGCAGCATTAGTCACGAGCGGAATTTTGCCCCCCCCAGAATACGCGGGGCAGCCTGAGCACCCACGCTCAGGAGTGAAGTAGTTTGTTCGTGGATGCTCAGCGAGGGATTCTCCAGGGGTGCTGGTACCCTCCTGGGGTAGTCTTGTATTTAATTCCACTACCATGTTGATGGGGGGGGGGGGGGAATTGGGCCTCCGGCCACCTGCACTCACCAAACGCAACGCAGAGGTAAACCTCTACTTCACGCTGGTATTCTGTGAGGTCGTGGTACCACCCCGGTTCGAGCTGGCCCATCCGTGCGACAGCAAAAGCTACCGCTTGGCTCTACCACTGTTTAGAATTATAATATGCAAGCCATTTAGAAATAAAACAAAAAATCTTATAGTATTCTTTAATTTTATCAAAAATGTCGTTATGCTTATAAGGCTCAATTTGGTAATCATTATTTTTAGAGAGGGACTTGATAAGAAAATAATATAAATATCAAGTATTAAACTTACGGAATATTTTTTTTTAAACAGATTACATTGCAATTTTGTTTTATAAATGGATAATAATTAACAAAAAATCTGTTACAGATAACAAACATTAATCACATTTCAGGATTCACGACTAGATAAAACTACGTGGTAAAAAAATATTTCTCCGAGGTTGTATAATTTAATTTCTTAATTATGTAAGTAAAAATACTAGATCTTAAATTTCTACATATTAAAATAAAAATACACGTTCTCGGAATGTCATTTCTGCATAATCTTCATAACCCAATCAAATGTTCTAAATTTTGTGCCCTATAGAAGTATTTATTAAAAGTTGAATACAGAATAGTCTACGGTGGTCAATTTACTTAAATACATAAAGCGATATAATATACAATAGGTGTTTATGTAAAAAATAACCTAAATATCGTTTACACAAGAAATATGTGCGTTTCAAATATACAAAGACTTGTAGTAGTTACAAATGTAATGAAGTGAATTTGTATGAAGTTTCTTCAAGTTGACAAGTCAATGCAGTGCTAAAATTTAATGGGCTTTGTCGTACGTATCCTTGTGTTGATATCCAGAGACGTAACCGGAGGAATCCACGAGTTCCTTACGACCCGCGATGCCTTTGCCTTTTCCGGTCTCATCGAAGCGTTGTTTATGGGAACCGGTATATTTGCTCGTGTCTGTTAATCTGTCCACCGCAGCAGACGCCGCTGGAGATTTGGGTAACTGAAAATTTCATTTTGGCAACTGAATAACATTTTAATAAATACTTTTATGAGTCGATAATCGCCGTGACTCCTAGCAATATCAATAAACAACGGAATGAGAATAATAAACATTTGTATATGTATTTGAAGAATATAAGTACCAATGCATTATGCTTTGACGCAAATATTAGCTGGGACGAGTAAACATCAACCTGCAATACGTACCACAACGCGGGATCGTTATACCACCATCCATATTTATATTTTTTAACTATTCTAAGACATTGCTTACCTATTCCACCCGATGGTAAGTGGTGATATAGTCGAAGATGGTAAAGCGCACTGATTTAGAAATCAGCTGGAAACAGATGCTGGCAATATACCCCCTCCTTTGTTGTACATAGTTGTAAATAGTTTGGTTCAAATTCATGGTAAGTCGACAATGAAAGGGTGGATACTGGCCGAACGTCTGGTTGTACGATGGTGGAAGGAAGAGGGAGAAATTAAGTAATGCGATTCCTGCGCACACCGAAATATATCCTATAGAAAACCGAAAGGATGGTTACTTCGCGCTTGTGCTCGGGACTGGCAGTTTCCTTGCAGCTGCTTTGTCCTTGGACTGAACTGAAGACAGTTGGTGTATTCTAGTCATTCCGGAAAAAAGCCAAGGTCAGCTGGATCCTTTTTGCAGTGCAGTGATGAATCTTGTGTTTAGGGCGTTAAATTTCATTAGATTGACATCGCCCCATACGCAGACTGCCTATTGTGTGACATTGACACGCTTAACCTTAGCTTCTCTTTTGGACTGGATTAGATCCCGACTGACCCGAGTACTCCTTTGGTATCTCTTCACAACTGTGCTGTTATCTGCGTACCCATAGACCTAAATACCAGGTCATTGATATGCAGCAGGAAGAGAGACGCGGAGAACACGGATCCCTACCCCTGAGGAACTACGGCGTTAGTCGTAGGCTTAGAAACGCAGCCTTCTACTATAACTCTGAGAGACCTTTCATTTGAAAAATCGTTCACTTAACCGACCAGACCTGGCAATAAGTCCTACGCTGGAAACTTGCCTTAGCCTAGCATGCCAAACCCTGTCAAGTTCTTTGAGACATCGAGGGAAACTACAGTTGCTTCGCCATTCTTCTCTAAAGCCTCGCCCCATATGTGAGTGACATACGCTAGAAGGTCGACTCCTGTCGAGTCTTTTCGAGGTATGCCATAAAGTAATTGATACCTAAGCCGTAAAATCGTTCTGTCATTTAAGTAGATATGATGGATTGACTTTACGACACCACCACACGGTAATGTACATAATATAATCATTTTAAAATTACAAATTGGATTGCGGTGGGAAAATTATAAACAATAAGAATTTTAAACTTCATAGCCTACCAATCCCTCTGTGACTTAAGTCAGCATACTTACTTATCTTCACGCACAATCCCTGACGGGGTAGCCAGAGAGAACAGATCGCCAAGTGTCACGATCCTTACATACCTCTTTGGCTTCTTTCAGATTCATTATCTTCTTCATACATGCACGTCTAGGTATCCGAGTACTCTTGACCCTCCCCTCTTCGAGCAATTTGCTCACATGGTCTTCGAAAGTTAGTCTCGGTCTACCTCGACACCTTTTAATATTTACTTTCGCGCTATATATTTTCTTCACCATTCGGTCTTCACTCATTTGCTCAACGTGCCCAAACCATCGAAGCACGCCCTTATCAATTTTTGTGATAAGGTCATCTTTCAAACCTGCCATATTGCGAATATCTTCGTTTCGTTTTCGGTCGAGATCGGTTTCGAGATCGCATCTTATTATTCAACTTACTTTTATGCTTCTTCTGGCATACCCAGGTTTCGCTGCCATATAACAAAGTCGGTACCAACACTGTGTTATGTATTGCAAGGCGTGCACTCTTCACTACGCCTTGCCTTTTGACTAACGCAGTCAGAGCACCATTGACTTTGTTCCCGGCAGCGACACGCCTGTCCACATCTAAATCACATCTTCCATCCCGGCTGAAAGCACTCCCCAAGTATACAATTTCATTTACCTGTTCTAGACATTCCTGATTTACCCATATTTCACACTTCGTTCCCTCTTCGTCCCTTTCAAATACCAGAACCTTAGTTTTATTAGTATTCAAACGTAGACCTTTAATTTCACATTCCTCTTTCATAGACGTGACTAATGCCTGCAGTTCTGCCTCTGATGGTGCAATAAGCACTGCATCATCAGCATACAGCAGACAATTTACTTTAATGTCACCCAATTTCACACCCAAAAGGCTATCTTTCAGCTTCTGTAAACAGCTGTCGAGATACAGTATGAACAGCCAGGAAGACATGACACAACCCTGTTTTACGCCCGTTTGGACGCTAAACATGGGTGACAGGTCATGCCCTACCCGCACACAGGCTTTACAGTCACAGTAAAGTGACTGCACAGCCCTTAGCAATCTACAATCCACACCATACCCCGGCAACAGTTCCCACATTTTCTTCCTTACAACCTTATCAAATGCTTTCTCAAGATCCACAAAAGCACAGAAAATCTTCTGGTTAGCAGCCAGAAGCTTCTCCGTGATCATGCGGAGAGAAAACATTTGATCCGTGCATCCACTTCCAGGTCTAAATCCGCATTGTGCCTCCGATAGAAATCTTTCCGATTTCTCTTGCATCCTACGTGTCAAAACCTTTGAGTAAACTTTACTTGCTAAACTGGTCAAGCTGATCGCCCGATAGCACTCGCAGTCAAAATGTGAACCTTTACCTTTATATAAAGGCACAATGACTGCGGATCGCCAATCATCCGAGACATCCCCCGTCCGCCAGCACAAATTGCACAGCAGATGAAAGCTGTCCCAGACGCGAGGCCCACCATACTTGACCATTTCAGCAGTAACTCTGTCTAGTCCCGCAGCCTTACCACATTTCAAACTTCGAATCGCACGTTCAATCTCTTTCATACTGATGACCTCAGTGTTATCGAGATCCGGGTCTGGCGTACCAGTCACGGCGTCACCCCCGGATCCCTCACTAAGATCATCACACGCATACATTTATCTATAAAATTCGCTCCATCGCTGCATGACGTCTGATTTTTTGAGAGGACATTGGTTCTCGAAAGCACTTTGTTCATTCTTAAGGCCGTCGCACCACTTCGAGTCCCTCCAACCTCTTTCCAGAAGAGTTTGGAGTTCTCCTAAACGTGCGACAACCTTTCGTCCGCTTCCATCCTACACCTTTCATGCACTTTCTCAATCAATGTTTTCGTATGAACTTTCTGCAGCTTATATCTTTCTTTCATCTTCTCTCTCATATCCTTATCATTACTAGAGGCCAAGTAGTCTAACCATGCTTTCTTTTTCTTCTTTACAGCTTCTTTCACTTCATCATTCCACCATGCATTTCTTCTTTTACTACTACCTCTTTTTATCGTTCCACACACTCCTTCCGCTGGACTTACCATTCCATCCCTAAGGTTCTACCATGTTCTTTCCACACATTCTTTTCTGCCATCGATGGTGTCAAGCTTTTCGGCTACCCTCGCATGATATTTGTCCCTAGTATCCGCTTCCTGAAGCTTCCAGCTTCGGATGCGACAGACCGACTGTGGTTCTGTTACTGCCGTCCGGTAGCGCCAACCCGCGAACAGACCCCTAAATCTAGTAATCACTAGATAGTGATCCGTTCCCAGGTCAGCACCCCTGAACACTCGCGTATCCATCACCTGTTTTCGCAGTCGGTCATCCACCAGGAACAAATCGATCATACTTCTCTCATTCTTTCTTTCTCTAGTATACATATGGATTTTCTTGTGATTAAACATAGTGTTTGTCACAAGAAGACCCTTTTCCTTGCATACAGCCAGTATAAGCTTACCAGCATCATTAACCCTTTTATCGCCAAACTTTCCAAGCACGGACTCGTACCCTGGTCGAGCGGTACCAACCCATCCATTCAAATCACCATATACAACAATTCTTTCGTTTCCTCTAACTAAATGTACAACTTCTCTTACATTCTCCCAAAACTCCTCCAGCTCAGCCTTGGACGACGAAGCTACCGGCGCATAAACAGCCAAAAGGAATAACTTCGTCAATCCCAATTTTAAGCGAACCCAGAGAAGTCTTGAGTTCACAACCTTATATTCAGTCATAACATCGACCAATCGAGACGACAGCAGCACCCCCACTCCCTGGCAGGCGCTCTCGCTCTCCGGGACTCCGAACCATAGAGCTAACGTCCCGCCAGGGAGCTCTTCAGTACCACTGCCCTTCCGTTTGGTCTCCGACATACACACGACATCTAATTCTCTTTCTTTCATTATTTCGATCAGCTCATTCGTCTTATCTCTCATGCCTCCTCTAACATTCCACGTGCCTACTCTGCACTCTGTCCTCCACTTTCCGCCGTGTCGGGCTGTGCGTGACGGGTGGCGGTCCCCATCGCTGCTTTGCGCGCTGCATTTCACACCAACGGGGACGCGCTGGTGTGCGTCGCCTTGGGGGGACGCCCTAACCCTCGTTGGCATGGATGCGCAGCTGTGTAGAATTGCAGCCCTGAAAAGGGTTGGCAGGGGTCGCGACGAGCACGCTTCTACAATGACCCCGAATAAGTCAGCATGATTTTTAAAATATTTTGCGGTTTATAAACATTCCACACAACAGGTATAGTACATGAGGGTAATATGGTCATCCGGTTAATATGGTCACTTTCTTATAACTCTAAAACTACAGCTTTATTTGCATAAATGGCTTTGGGATACGAATGCTCTTCATCGGTCATTCAAATAATAAAGGGTCAAGAGGGCGACGCTTTATCGACGCCATTTTGACAGTTGATATTATAGCAAATATTTTAGTCGATTTTAGTATTGTGTAGTGTAGTTAGTTTTTTTAAGTTGATTTTTCGAAGTGTTCCTAATTATTGCCAAGGCTTGTTTGCTATTTTTTTCTCAATATATTAGTTATAGTATACGACATTGTGTATTTGTCTCTGTCCTCCTCCAAGTTTTGGTTTTATAGGGCGGCAAAGCTTAAGGTAACAATATTACCCTTACGTACCTTAGCATTAATATTTACTTAAAATCATGATTTTTTACGTCGTAGAGCCATGCTGCAGCTATATTGTGGTTGCAGCACGAATGAGTCGGCTCGACCGGGATAGGACCTCGGCTCTCACAGAATACCAGCGTAAAATGGCAGCTTAATGCTGCTGTGTTTCGTATGGTGAGTGTAGAGAACCGGAGACCTTTTTTACTGGAAACGAGGCATTCCATCTCAGTCCTTAGGGGTGACAACGCATCTACATTTTGATTCTTAATTGAGGATAAATGTACCTAGATGTCTATGGGCCACAGCATCCACTTTCCATCAGGTGGACTGTGTTCCCGTTTGTCACCCTTATTCAATAAAAATTATATTTTTATAAGCGTGACTAATGAGCACGCAGTTCACCGGGTAATAGGATTCTTTTGCCCATAGACTTAGAAATATACATTTATAGAAAAACTGCATTGACACCCCTGAAGACTAAGATAGAATGCCTTGTTAAATAGAGTTAAAATAAAAGCTTACATGTGTTGTTACTCCAGGTTGTCCGCATGTAGACAACTTTCTTTTAATTTCTTCCAGTTCAACTTTCTTACTCTTTGCCAAGTCTTCTAAAAATTTCAGGTAATCGTCGATACCAACTTTCAAAGATTTAAGCTTTTTGAAGTGAATAGCTGTGTCCGTAGTGGTAATCTTCTTCCCATCGATCACTTTGGCTTGCTTCATCCATTTGTCGCTTTGGGACAATGTGATAAGTTTCCCGTCTGATTTAGGATCGCCAAATTTCGAAAACAACTTGAATGCGTCCTATAAAAACACACAAATTTATAATTTTAAATTATAGGGTTACCTGAGTCTTATGATGGTGTAAATTTTAAGTAACTTGATTTACAATCCCTAATCAGTTTACAGCTGAAGAAAATCGCTGCAGGTGCAAGGTATTTCATACGACATACTAGCTTAGGTGTAATCCTTTTGGAACCAATAAAATAATGGACTCAATTAGCATCTATTAATTATTTTATATTATTTTTTTCATGTAAGTATTTAAGGATTATTATAACTTAAAACTTAAACGTAATATTTGAGTAAGCCTCTCCTTCAACTTAAGTTTTGGGTAATAGAAAAACTGGGTTGTAGTTATGCTTGAATTAGAAAATATGCTTGGCATAACTGGAATATATAATTTTTATTTTATATTGAATTAAAAATGCATTAGATAAACAAAATAATTTACCTTAAATGGTATGGCATTGTCCTCGTTTTTTGAAGGCGTTCCATTGGACGCTCCCGGCGAGCTCCCGTTCTCTAGCTTGACGTCCTTCACGTTCTGCGTCACCTGCTCCACGGCGTCCTGCGCTCGCGATCCTTCTGACATTTTAGCGACTGGAAAGTTTAATTTCAATAATTATATCCACGGTTTATGGTATAAAACGTTATTGTTTCCAAAAACAGTTCAGCTCATTGCGAATTTTAAAATTAAAATCTATCAGGATATAAAAATCACAAGAATTTTAACATGTTATTTAACACCTATAGTTGCTAGGTATGAAAGGGTGAATAGGCCTACTAGATTTAGTATTATTTGATAACTTCCATTCGTATGTATTGTTCGTTCCTATCATACGTACGTGACAAAAACCTGAATTTGAATTTTAGGCGAATTTTTGTTGTACTCGAGTCTCGGCATGTTTTACCTATGACGCCTTTTCCGCTACGTACCTATAAAAACCCTTTTCACATCGACCTTGCTCTAATCGCGAAGAAAATTGAGAGTGAACACTTCTAATTCTAACCCACTGAAATTACAATACCTGCTTCCATAGTCCTTAACCACTCATATAGTAAAACAATTATTTATTTAAAAATAAATAGTGTGATGATTTTTTTATAAGTATTTACGCGTACACTACACATCAGATGAAATTAATTTTAAGGACATAATATTCTCCCAGGGAAGTTTGCAGCCTGTGGACATGTTCAAGATCGTCCTCGCCATTACATTAGATGTGATAGACCACAAATCCTCACACCGAGACACCGATTCCTACCAATGACGATTCGCGAGGCTATAGTAAATTAAAAAAAAACATTCTAATTTCAATAGAGAAGATGGCTGGGTGCTACCATCCGCTTGAGATGCTATAATTAATTAAATTAAATCCAAACTCAAGCTTACCACTGCAATACTTCAAGATACCTACTGCTACCGGCTAACTATGACATCGAGACGTAAAACACCTGTCCCGCCTGACCATGGATGTCGGCAATAAAAAGTTAAAATTAAACGCTACAAAGTCTTTAAAATTAGTTTGATTTAATAGAGTGTATTTTAGTTTGAGGAGCATTTCCCTGCATACCACGATTGCGTACACTTATTACTACCACCAGTAATATACAACATATTAGAGTGACCCGAACTAAAAGAGCAGGAACAAGAGGTAGGCTTACATGCATTTTAAGGGACACGGGGACAATTCCTATAATAAATATATGTAGATTCGAAAACCTACTAGGTAGTTTTGGTTGATCGTACAAATATTGGTTCCGGCCCCAGACGGACCAAATTCCACTCTGAAACGAGTACTAATGGAGTAGTAGCCAAAATTCTGACCTCTACGTATTAAATATATGTATTTATGAAATGAACGTTAAAATTAATCTAACTAATCGTAAACAAGCGAGGCCGTGGTGGTGATGTCATGAAAAACACACAAAACATAGTTACATCTATGTCGTAGAGATATCGACGACTATAGGTAACAGCGGCTCGCGTCTTAACGCTATACTAGGCAATTACCTCATCGACCTTGCGGAACCCATTTGAATACAGCTATCGTAAACAGTCAGCTGATATTTAAAATTGGCGTGTTTTTAAAATGTAATCCGTATTTGCACCTAATACATTTTTATAATAACGTAACTAACGAGTTAACAGTCCACCCGATGATAAAGTGCCACTAGCATGAAGGCATGGGATGGAGCTGCAACTAAAACTAAAGAAGGTCACAAATACATAACTGCCCCTGAAAGCTGAGATAAATTGCTTTACCTCTTTAATAATGCTGGCTCCTGCATCTTTCAAACCGGAAGACAACAGTGAGTGCACTGCTGTTTGGCGAATGAAGTACCTACTTCATTCGCCAAACAGCAGAGGGTACCTACCAACCAACACAGAATAGCTTAATCTTCATCAGCCCGGTTTGGTCATGTAGAAAGAATGAACGAGGAAAGAGTGACAAAGCAAATTTATGTTGCAGAAGTGAACGGCAAAGTCGGGAAGGGACGCCCTAGACGAAGATTTATCGACAAAATTGGCAATACATTGAAAATGGGCCAGATTAGGAGTACCCTTAACCGACGAGCGTGTATGCGTAGATATATGGATGTAAACAAAGACATTTAAGTAGTAAGTAGTAGATATTTTAAATCTCTTTGGATGTAAAGGAGGCGAGAGAGGTGTGTCAGGATCGTGCCAAATGGAAGTCCGTAGTCTCTGCCTACCCCTCTAGGTGACAAGCGTGAGCGTTTGTATTTTGTGTTTTTTCATCAGCCCGGTTTTATACGTGGTGGAAGCATGCTGCAGCTATATTATAGTTGTAGGTTGTAGCAAGAATGAGTCGGCTCGACCGAGGACACCTCGCCCTAACAGAATACCAGCGTAAAATAGAAGCTCAATGCTACTGTGTTTCGTATGGTGAGTATAGAGAAGTGGAGACCCTTTTTAAAGGAAACGAGGCATTCCATCTTAGTTCTCAGGGGTGGCAAAACAACTGCATTTTGATTCTTAATCAAATAAAAATCTAAATTAAATAGATGTAGATGTCTATGGGCCACATGTACTAACCATCAGCCATTTCGAAGATTAGCCCGGACAGACGGACAGACCGACACACGTACACACAGGTAAACAAAATAAATTTAAAAAAAATTATTGTTTTTGTTTTAAGAACATGCAAATAACCCCCTGAGCTTAATAGAAACCAGTTCTTTTAATGTTACAGACAAACACATCAATTTTATTTACATGAATTGATTTATTAATATGTATAGAGTATGACCTATAATTAATCTAGATCTGGGTACTTTACGGGGTACGGATTTTATATAAAATATATACTCTATGTAATGTATATGTTTGACACCTCGTCGGCAAGTGGTTGTAAGCGCGGCTGCTGATCATCTGGTCCTGGGTTCGAATCTCGGGTCGAATCAAATTCCGTTATAGGGCTTTTCTGTGAAAAAAATCACAATAGCTGCGCTGAGTCAGGAGGGTCGCGGTGTTTCGCCCCCTGCCTCGTAAAGCACGTAAAGCGCGCCTGATCGCTTCGGTCGTTTCGGATTGCAGTCTCATCGGACTATGATTACGTATTGTTTATTATAGATATACTATTATTTATTCTGTGCTATGAGAGTGAATCTGTCTGTGCACATACTCTAGCACTATAATACTGTTTTGTGCAGATGATGTTGAGACTGGCCGCCGTGGTCGAAAATGTGCGTGTACAAAATTATTATCAATCAACTTATACATTACAGTGGACCTAGATCGTCCTAAGTTACGCCTGGCAATAATTAAAGACTATCTCTCTAGAGCCTTTTTCCATCGGTGAGTATGGCTTACGTGACTTCAACTTACTAATGCTTTGAAGTGACGTCTACTCAGTTTTCACTAAAGATCTCCTGGTAAAGAATGTATGACGACATTATAATTTTTTTTTAAAGTTTTGTTAGTGACAAATTTAAGTTAGTGGTAAAAACACAGAATACTAGGAAACAGTTGCATCTTATGTAAGATTTTATGATCTTTATTTTATATTCGATGATTCAGGTAATATACACATAGAAATATAATTAAATAAATTCGATTATCGATTGAGTAAGTAATATTTCCGACTCTAAACCTTTTATTAGGCTTTATTTTAATCTACTCCTCGCAGTTTGGCTTTTTTCCCTCTCTCCAGTCTCCACCCAGCGACGAACAGTTGCGTCACCAACCGGAAGTAAACCTCATCAACGACGTAAAGAAAACTAATAATTCAGAGTTTTAGAATAATATAAATGAACATATTTTTATTAATATCTTTAATTACTTATTTTTGATGAAATTATGTTTACGGTAATAATTTCTTTTAAATCATATACATGATTATAATTAATTTCCGCATAAACTTCAGAAGTAGAGTGCTACTAACTGTAATAAATAATTTTCTAAACTTAAACACACAAAATCATGACAAAGTATTCCAGTGGCGGATCAAATTTAGACACAGCCGTAGCCTAGAACCTTATTGACGCCCCTCTAGCGGCCATGATTTTGCAAATAAACTATACTACTTATATTATGAATTATAATATAGTTTCATGATAATGATGAGAGTGAGGGCGACGTAGAAGTAATCAAGGAGACGGCGCGCGCTTCGGTAGCTCTACATCTCTATAAAAAGTATAATTTTTTATTTCGAAGTTCCTTATCGAACGGGGTTTGGCGGATGGGAGCTAGGCGATAAAAAGTGTAAAATTTTTTCGTCACTACCCCTTATGTCATAGTGTATTTTATTTCAAACTAGCTGTTCCTCGCGACTTCGCCCGCGAGTAATTTAGGGTTTTAATTATGTTGCGCGGAACCCTAATTATTTAACTAAAATATAAATATATATATATATATATATATATATATATATTATAATAAATAGCCTAAGTTACTCCTTATAACTTCAGCTATCTGCCAGTGAAAGTCCCGTCGAAATCCGTCCAGCCGTTTCGGAGATTAGCCTGAACAAACAGACAAAATTTTAAAAATTGTGTTTTTGTTATAAGTACCGTATATACTTTCATATGCATTTAGTAAAAAGCTGTTATTTTGACATTACAAACAGACACTTTAATTTTATTTATTTGTATAGATGACGCTTCATTTTAATAGACGCTAGTAAAACATTTATTTGTATTTGTTAATCAATAATATAATACGTTTATCAATAATAAGGAACTTCGTTCCAACCGAGTGTTCCACGACACTCACGCATGTTTTTTTTATGTACTTAAGTAGGTACTTACTTATTTTTATAATTCTACCGCGCGCGCCCCTTTGTAACCTCGCGCTCCTAGGCACGTGCCAAGTTTGCCTTAAGCATAATGTGCCACTAAGTATATTTAAGACAGCTCCTGTGATTTGAGATGAGAGCAAAAAGAACGATACTTTAACTACGTTTCACTCCGCGTTGGTTAATGTAGGTCAGTGTAGGCAGGTTAGGACCTATTGTTAGAATTTTCAACTTCGCTACGTCTTTTTTACTAGTACCAGAAACAGAAACTAGGAATGAACTAAAAAATAGAGATTAAAAGATATTCTTAGCTTTTATGATATTTTTTAAATCAGATTT